TCGACTGGCATGTCTGCGATTGTCTCAGTTGTCATCGAAGGCGAATGTAAATCTTTCCCCCTCAACTTTTGGCGGCCGATTCGCTCCTTCTTATATGCGAGCCCTCTTCTCGCCTCCTGTCACCAATGAATCTCAATCTCTGCAAAAAGATGTATCTTCCAATCTTATTCAGATAGACGTTTCGGCGTGGTCACACTCCATTCTTTTGCTATCCTCAGCTTCATCTTTTCAAGAGGCCCCTTTTTTACACGGGGCTTCTCAGGCAGCATTTCCGCAATATATGCCACGCAGTTGTTTGTTACAGCGACGTAGAACCAGTTCAGAGACTGAGACTCCTGCAACCTCAACTGGACAATTAGACGCCAGCGATAATCTCCGGCTTCGGCCCTACGAGTGGATCTTGCAGGTGACCTCCCATCTTAACTGGTCGGAAGCTATACAGATTGGCTACAAGGGTGCTTGGCTCTTTATGCTTTCTAGCTCTTCGATTACAAATTTGCCCATTCACTACTCCCTCTATGCTCATCATTTGGGAAATGGTGCCAAAGCTTTCGAGGAAACAAGTTGTTCTGCTTTTGCGTTTCATCTTCCCAGACCATGTTCTATGTGCGAAATTCCATCGAACACAGGTGAACAGGAGCGGAAACTTTGCGATAATTTACGTCCTGGTGTTCTTTCAAACGACGGTCTTGGCCACAGTGCTTGCCATTTCACTGTCCACCCGGACGCTGCATATATCTTCATATCCACCGAAGCCCAATGCTTGGTAGGCTGGCGTGTATCAGCGTCGCCCTCTAAGCTTGGACTCGAAAGAGCTGCTGATAAATCAGCTTTTGGGCAAAATCATGATATCCAGCATAATCTTGCATCCGACATGGACAATCTCGTCCAATCTGCAGAACAAGTAAAGCCTCCTTTATTGCATTCTTCGCCACTTTCATTCAGCGATATCGAAGAATGGAAGTCAGAGAAAAGTGATTCTGAATCATCTTGCTCAACAAGAATAAAAATGTCTAGGTGAGATGTCTTTGATATTTTTTACTTTTTGCCTCTGCACTATTGCCGTATATTTATTTGGGTCATCTTAACATTTATCAGTTACTTTTAAGTTCATATTGGTAGTCTTGATTTCTTCATCTCAATTAAGAATTAAGTAGTAATTGGGAGGCATTTTAGCTTTTTATCTTGATTCCTTTTTACTCCGTAACTAAAATAATTGAAAGTGGTGGTTACTAGGACCACAAAATTGGTTTTATGAATTTTACTTTAACTTTTTTACATATTATTTCTGATTGCCAAATTTCGAAGAATCGTCATCTTTGGTTTTATGAATGTACAGTGTCTTTCGTCTAATAGTACAGGCTCTTCAACTGTCCAAGATGAGTTAAAGAGAGTTAGGCTTTGGAAATATATTAACGGCTCCGATTACTTTATCAGTATTCAATATGTGTATATCTCTGCTAAT